GCACGCTCTATCCACTGAGCCATCCAGGTGGCAGCTCAGCTCAAGGTGCCGAGTTCAGTCTTAGTTGCGGGCGGGCATAGCTCACCATCAAATAGGCAATCTTGTTACATCAGCTGAGCCATCCTTCCACCTGTTGGCAGTTCAGCGACAGCCCAGTTTGGGCGCAGCATCACTGGCCCATGTGGGAATCCAACCGGCGGCCCTGTTGCTCAGAGCTTACGCTCTTAAGCCAACTCTTAACTAACTGAGCTACTTGGCCGGCCTGGTAACTATTTTTATTTCTTAAAAGAAATTTAATGTTAATACTTTACATATGATGCTTAAAAGTTTTTAACTCTTTTTTACCTGATTTAGGTAAGCTCTTGGGAAAAATGTTACAGGGAGAGAGCTACAGACAATTTTGACAGTCATTCCAACCATTTCCCCAAATATCTCATATTGCTTAATTTCTCTAAGAAAATAGTTTCTTGTCAGCATCACAGGAATATGTAATAATAAAGACAGATTTAAGCAACTGTAAATAGAAATCCATTCAGTTAATGCTAACTGAAAAATTGCTAATGTTCATTAAGTCTAAATTGAACACTCTTCATTTTTACAGCACTTGTTGAGTAGACTCTGGTGAGAAAAAGTCTGGAAATGAGCATGAGGTGACCTTTGCATTAAAGTCACTTATAGCTTAGTGAGGTAGCAGGTGACAGATGTGCTTACAACCAACCCTGGAATTGTACAGCGGTTGGATACTTTGGACATAACATAATCCAACCCTTTCATTTTACCATGAATTACCAAGGCTCAGAAAGGGTTAATACCTGGCTTAATATTACCCAGGGGCAAGCTTGAGACTGAGCCCAGGTGCCTGTGGACAATTTTATACAGTGCTTTTCCATCTCCCAGTGCTGCATTTGGAGCACTTGTTGGGACATCTCCTTACTATCATGTTTGCATTGTTTGCCTGGTGGGGTCGGAATTCTGCCATCTCCTACTGTGGGGTTTACTAACAGGCTTTTGCTCAGGGCTATTACATTCTTTTGGACAGCTTGTGCTTTTCTCTTGCAGGTGAATAACAGAGTGGTGCGCGCTGAATTTTATATACATGAGGAACCAATAAAAGTATCACTTGTAATGGAATCAACTCTAACTAGATTCGTCTACTTTTGATATCAGGAAGATTTAAAAATAAGGACCACTTTATAGCAGACTTTTGTTAAGAGCTGTGAGCCTTTGTAGCATAGTGCTAATGGTTACCACTTTGTATTATTTCTGTCACTAGTTGTATTTCTCCAATTTTTATTTCCCCAACATATACATATATGTTGTTTTTCTAAGACTTAACGACTTGTTTGGAACTTATAAATAATTTGACTTTTTTTAAAAGATTGCTGTTAACTGAAAATTTTTTTTTCCTAATCTGTTATCAAAACCTGCAAGTCCAGCTCTGTATGTGTACTATTTATATCATGTGCCTCTCTTGTTAATTAACCCCCACCCTTTCTACTCTCGATTTGGTGCTGGTACACAGCCTCATTTTCTTGGCTTAGTATTCAAGAACTGTCTTTATGTGGTCTTGTCCTCTCGTTCACCTTGTTTCCCCCATATTGTTGTCTGCAGCCAGACCGATCTCCTGTTTGACTCCGTGAACCACCCTCAAGTCTTACCGAGGTGTGTTCGCTTGTACTTTGTGTCCTCGAAGCCTTCATGTTTTCACCCCCACCCATTCCCCAGCTTCCTCTTTGCTGCCTCAGTACCTTTGAGTTGCTGGTTTCATTGCATGGAGCACTCTGTTCCACCCCATTAGGTAAATCCTTCTCATCTCTCAGAGTTGGGTTCAAGAATCACTTGCACAGGAAAGCTTTCCACAACCCCTCATGCTAGATCAGCTCTTTCTCAGTGTTCAGAGACCCTATACTTTTCTTCTGTAGCATTTAGCACTACTGTACTGTGTAGTGGCTGTTTAATCTCTCTCTCCAGTTCAGTTATAAGCTCCAAGAGGCATAGGCCATGTATGTTTATTAGTGTATCCCAGCTTCCACCTGTGCCTTAAGACACAGAGAAGCCCTGTGATAAATGTTTCGCCAATGACTGATCCCTGCCTTTTCATTATTTCATCCATTCCTCAGACCTCGCCTCACGACCTCTGTGCATATCTAGCCATTTGCCCACCTACTTGCCTGTCCCATGGCCACTTGAACGGAACATGTTGGAAATTAACCTGTTTCCCCTACATCTCTACATAAAACCTATCCCATTGTTAATAATCCTTTGACTCTCCACTGCCTGCAGAATGTTCTCGATTCCCTTAGTAGGGTATTCCAAGTCCTTCTCTGCCAGGCTTTCACCTATGGTACCTGTGTACTGTTTAGGTCTTGGCCGTACCGGATGACTTGGCTTTCCCTCTGGAATCCCCTCACAGAATTGGGTTTGCGGATTAATGAATGTTGACTGAACGCTCTTGGATATGTTGTTACATCATAGTTCATGCTCTCCTTTCTGCCTGAAGTGCCCTTTGTGCTTGTTCTATACCCTGAATTCTTCAAGGTGCAACTTGGGCCCCATCCCACTATAAAGAAAACCTGTATGTAGACCGGTGTTTTTAGAGAAACAAACTGTGGACTGAGCATGAGTTTTCACTGTAATTATAATTATGCTCTAACTGTCTGTGTAACTCTGGACTATATTTGGACCTCGGTTTCCCCATCTGTTTAAAAGGAGATTTGGCTCAGCTGACCCTGAGAGGTCATCCCTCTGGACCTGTGAACCTTTGACTTCTTAGTGAATTTGCTCATGAACATGCTGCAGATGTGGCTGTTTCTTCAACCTCGTGGTTCAAGCTAGCAGCTGCGTCAGATTCCTGGGCCTGTGTGAGGAGGATACAGGTGTTTGGTGAGAACGCACTGAAGACTGAGGGCCAAATTGACAAAAGAACCCAGCATCTCCAGGCCTGTCTCCATTTCAGGGATAACTATGTCTTTTTTAGTTAATGTGATTTCTTATGTATATGTGATTTCATTCTTAAACCTCCGAGATCTGATATTTCATAGGTAACTTTTTTTTATAGAGTATTAAAATGTCTCCTTGATTCATAAAATATCAGGTGAGCCTTCTCCATTCACTTGCATCTGTAGGATTTCCAGGCACAGGGGCTCGTTTCAGGGGAATGGCAGCAGCTGAAATAACAGCTCTGATTTCCCGGGAGAGGTGAAGTGACGTGTTCACAATCACAGCATATAATGAAGCTGGGATTCTAGTGCATGAACTAATACGAGACACAAAGTGCCAAGTGACAGAGAAAGTTGTAAGACAGAATGCTTTCTTTCGATGGACAGAGGGACCGTGCCATTTAACTAAAGGAATGAGAGCTTTGAGACAAAGGAGGGAAAAGTGATTTTGGAACATTGCTTAGGCCACTACAGAGGACCGTGGGATACTAGTCAAACAGGTGAAGAGGAACAAGGAGGAAGTCTGGTTCGATCGGGAGGTGGGAAGATGCTCAAGATGAACTTGATTCATGTCTGGGGTTAGTTAGGTGCCCCAATTCTTTCAGCTTCACGTCAGAACCACCCAACACTATGTGAAGTGTAGTCCAAAAAAAAACTACAGTCCCTAATACAATTTAATATTTGAAAAAAAAATTTAAGCTCCGTTTTTTGGTTTTTAAATACAAACCCCAGAAACCCAAGTTTCCAAAAGGAAGGCTCTGAGATTTTTGTTCATCAAAAGTGGGCATGAATACAAAATGGTGGAGAAACTTGTACAGAGGACCAGGAGGCTGCAAGATGTGGAGGACAGCAGGCTGGGAACTACAGCCATTCTCTTTGACAAGTGCCTCTTAGGCCAAAGGCTCTCACTGTGGCTTACTATCATTACAGTACATTTTTCATCTTTGGACTTTCTTCAACTCATTTCCTCATCAAGAATTTTCATCATGCAGATCAGTTCTCAAGGACAAAGGTTTTTTGTTTTTGTTTTCTTTGATTATTTTTTAGCTGAGCCATCCTGCCGCCTGTTGGCACTCAGCGGCAGCTCAGCTTGGGTGGGGCATCGAACCGCTGTTGCTCAGAGCTCACTCTTGAGTGAGCTCTTAACCAACTGAGCTACTCGGCCGGCCTAGGACCAAGTTCTTTTGTAGGAACAAATCTTGTGGAGAAACAAACACCTTAACATAATTACTGTGCATGTCATGATGGACGTAATGGAAGTATTCTTGAGTCTGCTGCAAAGGGGAGGAAGCTGCTGAGATGGTTTGGTCTTGTCTTAGAAGACCCTCCAGAGAAGTCCTGCAGCGACAGAAAACTCCATAGAAGCCAGCCATTCAGTCTTCATATAGCTATTTTGAAGTCTTCCCTTTTTTTGAGAGCCAAACTATCTCCAGATATTTTCAGCAGTTTCTCTAAAGATGCTGAAAACCATGACTAAATTCGCTTCCATGTCAGCTCTTTGTTTAATGCAGTTTTGTTCTGTCAATTGAAAAACAACCTGTAATTCTTACAGGAAATGTGGACGGACAAGGGCCCACATGTTAAACCTGTCAAACAACAGGCCCACTGAAAAGGCACAGGAATTTTTATGTTCACACCATCCTCTGTGGTTATTTTCAGTCTCCTGAGATTGTCAGGTTTAACATGTGGCCCCTTTTCGGTCCACTGAAAAATAGGGAAAAAACCCACTTGTTTCCTGTACTTGCGTATCGCTGGTTCTCACCCTGGCTGCACATTAAAACTATCTAGGGAGCTATTTTTTAAAAATCAGATTTTCTTGGTTTGGGTTGGGCATGTTTGAAAGCTCTGCAAGTGATTCTACCTGCAGCTGGAACCGAAAACTATTGTATAATTATGAATAATTTGGCTACTTATTTACAATCATCTTTAATGCATAGAGCTTTTTAAAATTCTCACGCATCTGTGCAGTCTTGTCTTCATTTTTTCAGGAAAATTTCCTGTAAGGGAACTTTTAGAATCTGAATTACGTACTGCTAAATTGTCCTCCAAAAAATGAAAATAATTTCTGCAGCTTTTGTCCATCAGACACTTTAGGCTTGTTGGGTTCAACACTCCTTCCCACGTAAAAAAAAAGTAAGTTTAGGTGAGGGACCCACTCAAATTTTTGGTAAATACAAAAAGCTGGGGAAGAGCTCGAATCTAGGCCAGCTGTCGCGCCGCGGGTAGGTCCCACAGTCGCAAACCTTCCGGTTCCAACCAAGAAGTCCCTACCCGCCATTTGTGGAGAGCCCGCGCCAGCGGGACCACCCTGCCTTCCGGAAACAGAAAGCCCGCCCCGCCAAGCGCCCCTCCGGCTCCGCCCTTCTTCCGCCCGGCGTTCGTGGCCATTGGCTGGAGGCGGGGTATATAATTACGTCATTTCCGCCTCCCTGTCCTTTCCGAGCTACCCAGCGAGGGACCCATACGGCGTTGTTCTCGGTGAGTTTCCCTTGGAGGTTCCCTGCGTCCCTCTGGGCCACCTGTACGACCTCCCTGCTCGAATGAGGGGTGAGAGGACTGGGGATGAGAGCCGGGAGCTAGAACGGGTCTCTCTCGGCCCGGCGGAGTCCTCCTCGGGCCCGGCGACCCGCACGTGGCCGGGCCGGGCCTGCGGGTTCCCACAATGCCCCGGGGGAGATCTGAGGTCGCGCTGGGTCCCAGGCAGTGGGCTGGGGTGCGGTGCGAGCTGCTGGTGGGTGGGGGGCTCAGGAAGTCGTCGGTCCAGATGACCGCGCTGCGTTCGCTTGTGACCCCGACCCTCTGCAGTGAACCCAGAGGTCTAGGCGCCCCATTGCACCAGCTACTTGGGCTCGTCGGTTTTTCCCGTTGGTGTTAAGCACTTTGGCAGGGTTTTGAGGAAAACTTAATAGTTGTGACCCGAGGGAAGAGGAATCCCAACGCGCCCACCTACAGTCTGTTTGAAGATAAACCTGTTCACATCGCCACTACCTTTGTTCAACTGGTTCTAGAACATGGCAGCTTTTCTTAACCTCTGGTGGTTATCCGTGCTCATCTGTAACGTTTTTACTCCTGGGTGCCTTGAGAGGTGTTGAAAGTCTCAGTTGACTATTTTCATCACCAAGTTGTTTGCCTATGCCCACACCACTTCTTCCTCATTAAGATTTGCTGCAGTTCTGTATGGAACCTGTCGGTGCTATCAGTTGCGTTTCATCCCACTAGAGCGCAATCTGACCCTAGGTGTACTAGGTTGCATTTAAATAAGGATTGCTTGACTCGAGTAGCGAGTAGCTAGAATTCACCTGTCCCGCCCGCCCACTGAAGCCACCGGAATGAAAAGGACTAGATTCTTAACCTATCGTTTTTCAGGATCCCACGTAACTTAAAGGGAATCTTTCACGATGTCCGGGGCCCTTGATGTCCTGCAAATGAAGGAGGAGGATGTCCTCAAATTCCTCGCCGCAGGAACCCATTTAGGTGGCACCAACCTTGACTTCCAAATGGAGCAGTACATCTACAAACGGAAAAGTGATGGTCAGTCATTGTTTTAACTTCTTTGCAATTCCAGTTTGAAGACACATTTTGACCCTGTTCTTCTGATGGGTAGTGCTGGGTGAAGTAATTTGTAAATCTTACTTGGTTCTCTGCTGAGTGATAAATGAAACCAGAGCCCTAGATTGGAAGTGGGCTGTAAAACTAAGTAAAAGCGTCCTGGCTGTTTTGAGAAGGAAAGGTTTCTGGATGCCAGTGGAAGAGCATGGCATATGCTAGGCTGTGGGACTTGAGTTGGTTCGTGGAGGAGGTGTGAGATGCGAAGATGATGAGGAAGTTGATTAGCTGAGTTCCAAATAACTTTTCTCACATAATGCCTTATATTTTATAGGTACTGATATAGGTTCAACTGAATTGTGAGGAAAGAGCATGAGATGGGGATAAACATTTTGGCTTGGGAGGGATTAGGAAAGGGAAGGTAGGTTGCCACACAAGTGTGGAAGGCATTAGGATGGATAAGGCAGTTATTCAGCTTAGAGACACAGCCACTGAAGGGTTTAAGCCTGGGAGTGGTATGCTGTAAAGGAGCTTTAGGTTGAGTTTGAGCTCAATGCAGATAAGAAAGTGGTAAGAAGCCAGGAAGTGGGCAAGATCCTGCAGGGACCCAAATGGGGGCCTGGTGGAGGATGACTACAGGGAGAGAGAGACCATGCACTTGGCCTACGAATCAAGGCTGCACACTATTAAAGCTCAGGGTGGAGGCCAGTCTTGGCCAGTGAACTTCTGAGTGTCGGAAGTGTGCTATATTAATGGCAGGATTTTCGCTAACACCAGTAGAGCTTGTCTCTATGACTGGAGTTTGATAGTACTTTCTGCCACATTCAACTTTTTGAAGATTGTCCACTTGCCAAGCTAGGTCAGGTGTTCAAAGTCTTCTGTCACTAGGCATCTACATCATAAACCTGAAGAGAACCTGGGAGAAGCTTCTGCTGGCTGCCCGTGCCATTGTTGCCATTGAAAACCCGGCCGATGTCAGTGTCATATCGTCCAGGAATACTGGCCAGGTTTGTGGAACAACATGCTTGGTTTTTTATTCTCAGAAATAAAGATTATAGACATTTTAGGATATATAGAGGAGTATAAAAAATAACCTGTAATTTCACTGTTTGGAAATCTTCAGTTGCCAATATTTGACATTTTCAACATACCACTTGGTACCTGACAGTATGTGGAGCTTCGTTTTGCGTGGCATGTAATTTCGTATGCCACTAAAGACCAAGAAATGACCCTATTAAAATAGCTGCGCTGTTTCTGTTTTGACGATTCTTTGTTGCTTTTCTGTTGAGAAAACTAATGGATCCTGGAAGAATTTATTTATATGAGTTCCAGCAAGGATTTTATTCACCCCATTTCTGGTTTTTTAAAATGCTTGACTTGGATTTGGACAGCACTTTTAAAATTATGTAGGAAGAATCCTTTTGTATCCATTGTTTCGATTGACAGTAAAACTGGTTCCTGTGAACGTACGATGTGTTCTGTAGAGGGTTGTTCCCCAGAGGCTGGCTTGTGACTGGACCCCTATAGTTCGGTGCCGGGTAGAAGAGAGCTTTAATTATTCCTGTAGAGTGAACCTAGTACCACTCATGCTCCCTTAGCAAAAATGTACTGCGCATCTAGACTGATCTAGGCAGTGTTGCTAGGTGCTTGGGATACAGCATGAAAACGGCAAGTCTGCCTTTGGGGAGGGCGTATTTCTGCTTAATACAGGGTAGCTGTGAGGAAATTTGACCAGAGGCTGGATGTGCTTACTGGGTACCAGGTACTGTTCTGTGTATTGATTTGTTTCATTTTATAACCCTATGAGGAACTTGCCCAAGTCACTCACAAAGCGGCCTCCTTGGCATTAGAAACCAGGCAGTGTGCCTTCAGCCTCCAGAAGCAAGGAAGCCAGTGAGCCTCAGATGCCTGAGGGGAGTGGGAGTGGGGTGCGCATTCCAGGCAGGGGGCTGAGGGCAGGCACATGCTCAGCATGTTTCCTGGCGTCCAGGTTTGTAAGTACTTTTCAGGTAACATGGAGGACAGAAGAGTTGCTGTGATTTGATGCTTTTATTTTTGAGGAAGGGCTATTGGGGGTTCTGACTAGATAGTCTGCTTCGTGTGATTATAGAACTGATTGTCGGCACATGTACACTCATTTACACTCAGGCTTGCTGTGACCCATCTCTGGAGCACTAACTCTTAGTGTTAATTCTTCAAGCGAGCTGTGCTGAAGTTTGCTGCTGCCACTGGAGCCACTCCCATTGCTGGCCGCTTCACTCCTGGGACCTTCACTAACCAGATCCAGGCAGCCTTCCGGGAGCCGAGACTTCTGGTGGTTACCGATCCCCAGGCTGACCACCAGCCTCTCACAGAGGCGTCTTATGTTAACCTGCCAACCATCGCTCTGTGTAACACAGACTCTCCTCTGCGCTATGTGGACATTGCCATCCCTTGCAACAACAAGGTAATGACTTGCTGATACAAACTAGAGCTCGAGAATGAGTCCTCTAGAAACAGTTGGGCATTCCTGTGCACATTGTTAGAGCTTGGAGTTGAGGCCACTGGCTGGCCGATGAACTCACAAGTGTAGGTAGTGTGCTACACGAGAGGCAAGTTTTTCGCTAACACCACAAGGGTCTCTGGCCCAATGAGTGGAGTTGGATAGTAATCCTTGCTACAAGTGTGATTTGCATGTATTAGAATTTTGATAGAATATGAAAATAGTCTGTTTTCTTCTGCTTTTCTCTGTATTTCTTGTTGTACTTGGGCCTCAGGCGTTACTTGGCCTTTCTGTTTTCACACCAACTGATGAATCCTGCTGTAACATCATAAGGTGGGTTGCATATGGTTCAAGTTGGTCCAGGGTCTCAAAACCCTGATTCTACATTAAGAGTCACTCAGATTTTAAAAATAACCAATGTCTAGGCACTGATCCAAGGGGATGTTTCATTTTGTTGCCTAGGGTGGCATGTCAACAATAGTACTTTTTAAAATCTGTTTGATTCCAGTGGCAATCAGGGTTGAGAACAACTGATTTATTTTTTGAGTAATCTTCTTTGTTATACTTTTAAATTACGACATGTCTGTTCTGGTACCAAAGACTTCGCTGATGTGGAGCCAGGTTAGGTACAATGGGGAGGTGCTTGCTGTTTGGGGTAACCAGATGGCATTCTTGCAGGGAGCTCACTCTGTGGGTCTGATGTGGTGGATGCTGGCCCGGGAAGTTCTGCGCATGCGTGGCACCATCTCCCGCGAGCACCCGTGGGAGGTCATGCCTGACCTCTACTTCTACAGAGACCCTGAAGAGGTAAGCTTCTGCAGAGGCTTATGGCTGTCACATAAGCAAATGGGATACCTTGGTCTGCTTCTTGGAAGTAAAATTTGTCAGTCCCTATTAACCTTTCCTCTTTTTTAAACCAGATTGAAAAGGAAGAGCAGGCTGCTGCTGAGAAGGCTGTGACCAAGGAAGAGTTTCAGGGCGAATGGACAGCTCCAGCTCCTGAGTTCACTGCTGCTCAGCCTGAGGTCACAGACTGGTCTGAAGGCGTGCAGGTGCCCCCTGTGCCCATTCAGCAATTTCCCACTGGTATGTGTCATGATACAAGTTCATTGAGCTGTGGTTTGGGATGTCTTGTGTTTTTAGTCTAACTTGAATGATCTCCGTGGCTGTGTTAAAAGTTCATCTCAGTATATTGTAGCTGTGCTAATAACTGGACAGGTTCATCTGAAATGGTGTGGCCTTAGTGTGCTTGAAATGGGTGTCTGATGGGATTCAAGGCAGATGCTGGTGGGGTGAGGTGACTTGGGAACGGAGCTAATGGCTTTTTTCGTCATTTTCTTAGCAGAAGACTGGAGCGCTCAGCCTGCCACTGAAGACTGGTCTGCAGCCCCCACTGCTCAGGCCACTGAATGGGTAGGAACGACCACTGAGTGGTCCTAAGCTGTTCTTCCACAAACTCTTATGCAAAATGGAAATAAGGTTGACGGAAAATAAACAGTTTCTAAAAAGTTATGTCTATTTCAGTTTTTTATTGTAGATCAGGATGCCTAGGATTACTTTTCAGTCTCTTGACATCATTTTCACTTCTAAAGCCTACTGCAGATAAAGTATATTGCTTTTCACATGGGAGTTTTCCTCAGCTTCCTTTTTGTGTAAGGAACACCTGTGTTCTGAAAATGTGAATAACACCTAAGTGTTAACTCTAAAAATGTTTTTCCAAGGTCCTGATAATCTTGACTTTTTTTTTTTAAGATTTTTATTGGGGAATGCGGTGGAGGCAAACAGACAAGTTGCTGTCCTTTTGTTCTTCAGTTTAGTTGTGGAGGACGTCACTTCACTGGCCCATGTTGGTGTTATTGCGCTCTTCCCAGGTGAGGCAGATCTGCTGCCGGCCACACATGGTAGCTTATGGCAGCGCGTTGCAGCCTATGCAGTTGCTGGCGACTCATGGCAGCCCAGCTCCAGGTTGAGCTGTTGTTCAGCATCTTAGCTGTAGAGGGCAGTGTCACTGGCCCTCATATGTGGGATCCGAACCGGGGCCCTGCTGCTCAGAGCTGGCGTCCCAAGCCAGCTCTTAACCAATGCGCCACTCGGTTGGCCCTAATCCTGACTTTTATTAGCATCTGTAGGTTAATTCTGGAGTCCAGATTTTAAAGTAAATGGGTTTTGATTGACAGCCCTATTTGCCAGCTGTGTGGCCAATGTATGAATAACGTCTGGTGTTAAACACACCTTGGGCAAAGGCAGAATGTAGTCACCGATTCTGGAGAAGGGGATCTTGTTCATGTCAACAGCTGCTACAGATCCTGCCTCAACCCAGGACCACAAGCTGGCCCACACCCAAAGTCACCCCACTGTGGGACTCTAGGTGATCCATGGCTGTGGAGGCAGTGCCCTTGAGCTGGCACAGACCAGTCCAGCCTAGTATTCTTAGTAGCCTGGTGCCTACCTAAAAGGGCAGCCCAGAAGCACTGTTGCATCGAAGGGACAGGATCCCCTTGGATCACCAGGCGTTTACTCCGCACCTGCGCCTGGCAGCTTTCTCCGTTGGCGTTGGCAGTGACAGAGAAGCCCTCTGCCCCTCGCTTGCACTGCACTAGTAAGCCGCCTTCCCTGGGAATAGTAGCTCATTCAGTTCCTTGTCCTGCCTGAGCTTGGTGGATAACATCGAGTGGCGCATTGGTTAAGAACTGGCTTGGGATGCCAGAGGGACCTGGTTCGGATGCCACATTTGAGGGCCAGTGACACTGCCCTCTGCAGCTAAGATGGTGAACTGCAGCTCGACCTGGGGCTGGGCAGCCATGGGTTGCCGACAACTGCAGTCCCTGCTGCAGTGGGCTGCCTTAAGCTACCGGGTGTAGCCGGCAGCCAGTGTGAGCGGCCGGCCAGAGGCCGGCGAATCAGCCTTGCCCGGGAAGAGCGCAGTGATGGTGCTAGGTTGGGCCAGTGAAGCAACATCCTCCACAACTAGACTGAAGAACAAAACGACAGCAACTTGTCTGTTACCCTCCCCCAAATCCCCAATAAAATCTTCAAAAAAAAGAGTTCACAAGTTCCTATCACAGCTTCCAGCTCATACACTTCTTGGGGCTTTGTCTTCTAAGCTAATAGAAATGCAACCCCATGCAGAACTTTTTTAAAATTATAGGTTCAGGTGTACAAAGCATGATTATAGACATTTACACCCCTCACAAAGTGACAACCCCAAGTCTTACCCATCTGACACTGTACATAGCTATTACAATACCATTGACTATATTCCCTCTGCTGCACTTTACAACCTGTGACTATATTTTTAATTACAGTTGACATGCACTATTATATTAGTTTCAGGTGTATAGCGTAGTGGTTAGGCATTTATATAATCTAAGAAGTGATTACCCCATAAGTCCATTACCCATCTGACACCCTACATAGTCTTTACAACATTATTGACTATATCCCTATACTGTACAACTTTGAGTTCTTCTCATTTTTCTAAGCTTCTTCCATAGGACACATTTTCCTAATAAGTCCCAAATACAAAGGTGAATCAACCCCATTGAATTCAACCTAACATAGAACTTGACACTTAGTAGATGCTAATAAGCACATTCTGAATGAATAGAGAGGAAGTGGTTAAGAATAAATCTCATAGACTTATTAACATTTGAGAAAGAGCTGGAGTTAAATTCCATTTGGCAAGCCTGAGACTAGCGTGGTGTCCGGGATGGGTGGGGCGGGGTGGGGGCTGTATCACCTACTTTGAACTTCACTGGGCTGTTACAATCCAGTCCCCTACAGCTGGCCACTGCTGTTTTGTGAATGAGCTACAGTTCCCTCAGGTCGGCATGGGTTGTGGTCTCCTGGTAAGTGGGTGGGTGAGACTGGCTCTGGGCAGAGCCATGGCCCAGCACCGAGGATATCCTCACCTCCAGGTGGCCTGGGAGGGGTCTCTGGCCATTGCATTACCATCAACATCATGTGTTGAGTCATGAGGGGGAGAGGAGTGTGGGAACTGGCAATGCCTGAGACGGTGAAAGCACTGCTCAGCCCATTACTAGTGTGTGTCTGGGCAAGAGATGATGTCTCCTGGCCCAAGTGCCCTCAGCATCAAAGGGATAATCATGAGGTTGTGATTCAGAGATTGTCTTGCAGTTAGCCTGGGTCTGGGGATGTAGCAAACACTCATTTTATACATCACTTGGTCCTTTGTTAGTGTATAATGTGAAAATAATTTTTAATGGTAAATGTATCAATACAAGACGTATCCGTATATTCTTGAAGTATCAAGTTCAAGCCCCTGTGACCATTATGCAGGTTATGAAGTAGAAAGGTGCCAGGACCTGAGAAAGTCTTCGCTGGTGCCTCTCTGCCCCTCCGTGAGCTCACATCGCTTGTCTCCTGCTGGTCCCTGGTTGACTTGATCGGTTTACGCAAGTATGCTCTTTTCAATCAGGAATTGTTAAGTTTCCCTGTTTGTTTTACGGCTTCCTACAAATGGAATCATATCTTCTTGTGTGACTAGCTTTTTTTCCCTCCATGTTATTTTTATGCTTTTAATACTGTTCCCATGTGTCTGTAAAGGCATTCATGATGTCTGTACAATACTGGCTATTCGGGTTGTTTCCATGATCTGGCCATTATCAACAGAGCTATTTTGAACATTTGATAGATCCTGGTGCACAGAAATTTCTCCTCTGTGGGTTTTAAACTCTTAACTTCTCTAGAAAGTATCAAATGGTTTCACAATCATGTGAAACATATAAAAACACAACCACAACCCTTAGCACTTTCTGTTGAAAACACAGTCCTTTCTTCACTGGTCATAAGTGCTGCTTCTCAAAGATCCAGGGTCCGTCCATGCCAGGTCTGATCCTGGCCTCTCTGTTCCCCTTCCCCATCCCCTCACTCTGTGAGTCTGTCCCTGGGCCAATGCCGCACTGTCCTTCCTCTTTACCAGAATTTTATAATCTACTATGACAATGGATAGACCAATCCCCCTGCCTTCCTCCTCTCCAAAAGAATCTTGGCTAGTATTGAACCTTTTGCACTGTCACATACATTTTTTACCAATGAGTACAGTTCCACTATAAAGCCAGTTGAGATTGCATTCATTCTATAATTTGGAGCAGTATTGACTGATTCATAATACTGAGTTTTTCAGTCCATGAAAAATCTATGTATCTTGCCTGTCTTTCATGTTTATGTCCCTTCCTCAATTCAGTTTTATAATTTTCCCAAAGAGGTTTTGCATATTTCATAAATTTATTCCTAGAGATTCAAGATGTTTTAAATTGTACAAGATATTTAAATTGTTAAGAAACTAACTACCATTAGGGATCCTGTTGGAATAGCTCAATCCTTATTCTAAATAACACAGACATCCAGTGGTAAGTGTCACTATTGCCACGGCGTTTCTGATCCTGCCTGAGCAATCTAGGCCTTTTGTGCACGTCAGGGGTGAGATAACTAAATTCCACTCACGAAAAACCTGCTCCAAACCCACAGGCCAAACTGTCCTCAGTTAGTGGAGCAGAACCTGCTGCACTTCTGCTTATGCTAAGGTCAGCGGTTTCACTAGGAACAACCCAAGAATTATTCCATTCTGCCTTTGCAAAGAACCTCAAGGGAAATAAAATTCAACATTCAACAAACATTTATTAAGCACTTAATCTGAACCAGACACTATTCTAAGCTCTGGGGATACAGCAGTGAGTGAAGGCAAAGCTTGTGACCTTGTGGCAGTTATATTCCAAATGGGGAGGCAGATAACAAGTTACCAAGCATACTACCTTCCATGGGGACAGAAGTGAGGATGACGGAAACATGAACGTTTGTCTAAAACAAGAATCACAGTCATCAGGCCATAGAAAAGAGACAAATGGGGAGAGTCATTGGGCAGAATCAAAAGAGAGCACAGAAACCCATCTGAAAGGAGGCCCTCAACTCAGCCTCACCAGGTGGAGCTGAGAGAGGTTCTGCCCTCACGGGGCGCTTCTACCGGAAGCCATGGAGTCTCTTGGACACTAGTATGTATGAAAGGTGTAGACCTCCACTGCCCAACTCACCTAAGTTTTTTATGTCCTCTCTTTTGGATATTCCTGGAAATGATTCAGGGACCAGAAAAAAAGCTAACTACACAGACGTTTACCCCAGTTCTGCCCCCTGCTGTACCCTCGAGTGGCCCACGGAGCACTCCCTTCTCCATGGGTGGCTGGCTCAGTTCACATTGAGGCAAAGGGCACCCAACAGTACCAGAAGCGTCCATTATGTCCCCTGGAAGGCCCTCCACTCACAGCCACTGACCTCTACTTCCCGTCCATCCAATACCCTATCCCACCCCAAGGGGTATCTTCTATTTATGATTTGCAAGAGACAGTTACAGCCTTCATCATGGGAAAATAGTCCCGGGTCATCATGGCCTACACGGGACTCTGTATAGGGGCCTTGTAGGCTTTCAAGCCTGGAGGGATGAATGGGCTGGCTTGACATCTGTTTCAAAATCCTTTATACAGGATTGGTTTTTTTTTTTTAAGCTGAGCCATCCTGCCACCTGTTGGCATCTCAGCAGCAGCTCAGCTCGGGCCAGGCATCAAACCGCTCTTGCTCAGAGCTCAAACTCTTGAGCGAGCTCTTAACCAACTGAGCCACTCGGCTGGCCCCTGTTTTTGTTTTTTTTTGTATTAGTGTAAATCATTTCATTTAGATACAATTCTGTTAAGTAAATTGTCTTTTTCCAAACAATGTCTAATTATCAATACTCTGTGCTCTTGCAATTTAGAAATAAAGAATGTGATCATCATAATTGAAAACACAATGGGCATACAGAGAAAAAACTGATGGTTGCTAGAAGGGAAGGGATTAGGAAGTACAAATTGGTATCACAGTGTAGTCACGGGGATGTGAAATACAGTGAGGAATATAGTCAATAATGTTGTAAAAGCTATGAATAGTGTCAAATGGGTACTAGAGTTATCCGGGGGGATCACTTCATAGATTATATAAATGCCTAATCACTGTGCTGTACACCTGAAACTAATATAAAATAATAATGAATATAAACTATAAATATACATATGTCATCATGGGATACAAAGTACAACATAGGGAATATAATCAATGGTATTGTAATACTTTTGTATGGTGTCAAATGGGTAGTAGACTTGTTGGGGTTATCGCTTTGTGAGGGGTGTAAATGTTTAATCACTGTTGTTTGGTATACCTGAAAAAAAAATAAAGCCACTTTTTTCATTCTCTATTAAATTGTACATAATTTATTATCCTTATTTTTCATATAACCTAATAGTTTTATGAAAACAGGGGTGTTCATCTCACTTGCATTTTTTTTTTTGTGTATAATAATGTCTCAAGTGAGTCACTCCTGCATGTCAGGTAAGGCTCACTGAAGGGACCCCTCCCAGAACTAGAAAATCTCTACACAGACGACAAACTCAAGTCCACACTTACTGCCAAAGAAGGCAGTTTTAGAAAGCTTGCTTTGTCCTGCTTTTTGGTGATCCAAGTTTCAGAAATATTAAAATCACCTTTCTAGTTAGGTATTTTAAAGTTCAAGCACACAAAAATAGGATTTCTTTGCTGCTGTATTGTATTTTTAAAATTATCCTTTAATCAGTCAGGACACAGAAGGCAGGCAGGCATGGTCAGGTTTAATTCTGGGCAGTGGCGATACTATACTTATAAATGTTGCATATTTTGTCAGAATTTAAAATAAAACCAATCGGCCCCTGAGAATTTCACTTTACTTACAAAATAAGGGATTTGGTTAAGTGCCCTCTAAGTTCTTTTTTCTCCCAAGTAGTCTTGATGGACCAGGCCTCAACCTTCCCCACGTGATTGGATAAAACTGAGCGTGGGAATGGACAAATTAAAGAAGTGAGGCTGCCTTCCAGGGTCACTCAGCTGCCTGGTGGCAGGATGGACACTGGTACCTGCACCTCTGGAGAGTGCAAAGCTCCTTGGGTCACATTCCCAGGCACGGGTCACGGACAGAGACTGACTCATCCCTTGTTAGGCTGTAGCTTCAGATAGCAGCTGATAGATGATGGGAAAAGGTCTCTATAAAGTTACCTCAGAGGGCGTCAGGCTGCAGGGGCAGAGCAGAGGTTGCCAAGGCCTGACGGTCCTTGCTTCTTAGTCCACTTAGCTGGGCCCACACTCAGGAGCTCTGGTCCATCCTGTATCCTCGGACTGTGTGTGTGCCCCATAATAGCCCCTGTCTATGAATGTAATTTGGGCCCCTGGAGATAGAAACTAAAGAAGGAATGAATAATATAGTGATTGCAAAATTATAGGTCCTCTGGCATATGAATTATATAATACACAATAATTCTTGATTCAATTGTTTATTTACCCAAAAACTATGCACTTGGAAACCATGGGGATCCAATCTTTGTGCTGGTTGCTGGGGCAATAATGACCAGAATTCAGAAATTTCAAATAATGAACTGCTTTTGCTCAGCTTAGGGACTAAACTCCCCATGTAACCAGCAGAAAAAGTCATAGTTTTTCTCTGCTCATGTCTCCAGGCCCATTTCACTATCACCTTATTAAACCTCTAACCTCTGTTTATACAATTGTCCTGAGGAACCCTGATCCCTCTGCCTGCCAGGACTTCACAGGAACTGTTATCTTTTCTTCCACAACTTTTTGCTTGTTTTTGCACATGGCAGTTTCACACGTTTCTTTGGGGGGGTGGGAGGGGTGGGAGGGGAAGGACATATTTTTATTGTTGAAAAATACGTTTCAACAACTGTGCAATACCACATGCTGATAACCCCAATAAAAAGGAAAAATGTAATAGCTATTTGCTTTAAAAATGCTACTGAAAAATTCGTAATCGCAACTGTTTGTGTGTGCTGCCAACTCCAAATTATCTTATGCTTGAATTATTTATTTTATGGAATATCTGTAAGAAAAATTGAAATCCCAGATTGCTCCTGGCTTGTGCTCTAGACGTAACACCTGGAGCTCTCTGTATTTTCAAGTTAGTATATTCCCAGAGCATGTGAACTAATTTGAGTGGCTGCCTAATGAAGTATTAATCCATGCTAAAAATTATGTTTTCCACAGCTAAAGAACACAGCAACCAGAGTTTTCTTCCATATTCATAGAAAACTAGGACTGGCATAATTGATATTACAGATATAATCAATAAGTTACACTTGTTATAGAAAGAGTAAAAAAAAACAAACCAAACACCCAACATCTAAATTCTTTAAATCCCCAAACCTGGGGACTATGTCTAAAGCACTGAATACTTAAAGAGCTTTTCCATTTTTAAACTTGTAGAAAAATAAATATTACAGAAGCCACCTACCCTGTTCCACAAAGTCCCTCTCAGTGGAGGTAAAAGGAGATGAGATCACTACATTCAGCTCTGGTTTTCTTGACACAACACACTGATACCTTCTTTTCCGGAGTCTCTCTTTTTCCTAGAATCCATGTATCTTGTCACCCTTTCCTTCTCTAATAGTAATATTGCAAGGGGTGAAATCCATGAATTGGACCCAGAGAGTTGAACAGGAGAAGCATGTCTCCTAAAGTGTGAGTTTTAACACAGCAAGTTGGATAAAACTCAGTCCCTTAATTACGGAACATAATGTACATTACTACACAGGTCACTACTGGCCAGAACACAATTGTGACTGGGTCCAAGCACAGGGGAGAGAGAGTTGGGTGTGGAACTTGGAAACACACAGAAGCTTTGTCTGTTCGGCTGGCAGCTCAGTTGGTGTCGTATTCTGTTTACCATTGAAAGTTGGGGACTGTATAGCTAAAAATCTGTCAGATCAAGGCCAAAGTCTTAAGAGGAGATAAATTTGCTCTGAAAGTGAGGATTGAAGGGCAAATGAAGAACCATTTAGGTTTGTTTCTCTCAGATTTGATCAACCAATTCATTATATACTTTGAAATAATTAAATGGTCTTATAGCTATTTATCTATTCATAGTTCATCTATTATCTATTACCATAGATAATAGCTCATCTATCATATATTATCATGGCTTATCTATAGCTCATCTGTTCATATTTCCACAGGACAAATGTCATTGTTGTCATGAATCCGAAAAATCTCTGACCTGTCTTTTATCTTTGGAGTCAAAAACCAATTTTTACAACACATAATTTTGATAACACAATTTTGTTAGGTAAACAATTATTTAATTGTGGATATGACTTTATGTACATTTAAGTTTTTAGGTGAAACAATGGCGATATCATCTCACCAGTATCTTCCCTAAGGTAACTTTCTTTTAAAGACGACTGACTCCTTTTATACTAATTTTCAGTAATTCCCATAACAAATGTTTGTCACACCCTCCAGCCCTTTTTATTCTTGACTCTTTCTATGTGCACCTATAAAATAGTATGTTTCTCTGCTAATGAGCATGGATTTATTTTTGGGGTGATGAAAATGTTATAGAATCAGATTGTGGTGATGCCTCCACAACCCTTACATATATTAAGTATCTCTACATTTTATACTTTAAAATTTTGAATTTTATGATACATATGTAAATTATATTTCAATAAAAACAGTTACCGTGTTTTTGGTAAAAGATGGCAGGTTAACTGCACATACTTATTTTATCTACTCTTTCTTCCCCAAATGTACTAAAATTATAGTAGTAAAATATGTTTAAAAGGTAAAGAATTAAAAAATAATTTACTCCATACAGTGTGGGGAATGGAGTCAGTGGAATTGTAATAGATATGTATGATATTGGAGTGGGGGGATGGTGGATTGGGGTTGTCACTTTGTGAGGGGTGAAGAGTATAACTAGTGCATTGTTTTGTACACCTGAAACTAATAAAAATAATAATTTACTCCACCGGGGTAGTAGAGAATTTTTAAAAAGGTTTTAACCTCCAAAGAAAAGGAAACACCAGAAATGATAGATTATAACACAGTTTTGGGAGATAGAAAGTGGATGGAGGATGGTAACTAACTTGGCAGAGTGGAAGAAATTCCAATTTAAGTGCCTGTAGAGGAGATGCCAGAGAAAAGCGTGTATAAAGTAGGTGTTAAAACGCCAAGAATCTCCACACTTGGAGTGCCAGGTGGAGTGGAAAGCAGAGCTGAGGCACGGGAAGCTGCACATCCCAAACAGATTCCCAGGGTCACGGCACCAGTTTGTTGTTGTTGTTTTTAATTTTTATAATCAACAGACATTTATTTCTTAACAGTTCTGGAGGCTAGAAGTCCAAGATCAGGCACCAGCAAATTTAGTGTCTGGTGAGAGCCTGCTTCTTGGTTCCTAGACAGCCATCTTCTTGCTGTGTCTCACGTAGTGGAAGGGCCACTGCACCAACTTGTTCACAGGAAGTCCATTATGAAGAAATTTCCAGACTCAGAAACTGTGGAGCACATGGATGAAGGGCAGGGCTTAGAAAAGGGAAATGTCCACATATTTATGTGGGTCCCTTACCTACCTTGATCACAGAATATCATCAGCAAGATATTCCAACTCCCCTACCAAGCTATAAAATGGATTGCCCTGCCCTGAAGAAACTGAATGATCAAGAAAAATCTTCCAGCTACTTAGACTTTGAGGTCTGCCCAAGAAAAGGCCAGCATGGCTGCCCATTACATCACTCATCAACAGGCCCTGTGCTTGTACTTGGAGCTTTCAGTCACCTCTTGCATGCCTAATTATTAAACATCAGTGGACAGTGAAAGATCACTAGACAAAATGGGAAAACTTCCAACAAGAAGGGGAGAGATGAAAACAAAACCAGGATGAAGAGACCTGAAGTAAAGAAGCCTACTCAATGCAAGAAACAAACAAAACAAAAAATAAACATTCCCCAATGTAGTGTTATTACTATTTTCCTAGAGTTTAGAGAAAATACCATGTACTTTGGAAAAGGGAAAGTCAACGAACAAGAATGAGGTCTTAGAATTTAAAAATACGATTACTAAAATAAAATATAAAATTCAATAGGAGGTATATAATGAATAAAATAAAAAGTTACGAAAGATAAAACAAAAAGGCAAAGAATTTAAAACTAGGAAAGAAGAATGCGGAACAATTTAGTTTTCTGTCATTAGTTTTCATTAGTTTTCAATAGCCAACTAATATAAATTTCAGAAAGAAGAAAGAAAAGTGAGGGAAATAAATTCATAAAAACAAAAAAAATTACAGACTAGAATGGTATAAATTTCTAGATAAAAATGGTTGACCAAGCAGGGATAAAGAAAGACTCACGATGAAGCATGGCACAGAGAAGTTTCAGGACAAGAGGGTTAAAATGAGATCTTGAACATTTCTAGAGATTAAAAAAAAAAATCTTAAAAGAATGGGAATCTGAAAGGCCTACAACTTCTCAACAACACTGAAGGAAAAATACAGAAAATCCATCCACAAATCTGAGGGAAAATGATTTTCAACCTAGAATTCTATACCTAGCCAGATAGGCAACAAAAGCAAGTGTAGAATAAAGTGGCAGGTATGCAAGCACTCAAAAAAAAAAAAACAATCACTAAATATATGCCCTTTCTAGTGGAAGTACTAGAGGGTAAGCTTCAGAAAATGAGAGAGCATGCAAACCAAAAAATGAGAATGACATGGGACCCAATACAGAGGTGATCCATTACAGCAAAGCAATGAAGGGAAATCCAGTCCATCAGGCTTAGAGAACAACCAGTCTAAAACAGAACAAGAGAATAGAGGATTACAGAAGACAATAAAAGTAAAAACAATTATTTGACATATTGGAATGCTTGAAAAATTGATAGTTCTTGGACAGATCTGTTGGAATATTTGGAAAAAATGAGTGTGATAAATAAATAAGCAAATTAAAATAAATGAAAGCAAACAGGGCAATTATTAATTTCAGGAAAAACAAAATTGTACAAAGAAAGGAAACAGTTATAATTGATCACAAGGTTGTGTAGAGATATTTACATATTTATAATAATATAAATACTGATACAGCTACATCCAGTGGGTAAGGGAAAAGGGAGAGGAAGGACTAGATTCTAAGAAAATTAAACCCTTTAGGAAGCCAACAGCCTACAATAAATAAGTACATAATAGCTGTTTCTGAGAGTCATTTAACGATACTGAAATAAGTAGAGAAAAAATAGCTAAAAAAAGTTAAATGTGGTTGCCTCAGGTGAGTGGGATAATGGAGTGGGATGATGTGGCAAAAAGGGCTATTTTTCAACATAAGCCTTTTACTACTATCAGAACTTTGTGCAAGTATTATTTTGATAAATATTAATTAAAACTAATTAAAATACTTATAGGAACAGGTGTATTAGTTTGCTAGGGTTGCCATAACATAGTACCACATAGTACCACTGGGTGGCTTAAATAACAAAAATTTATTGTCTCCAGGCTAGCAGTCTGATATCAAGATGTCATGAACGTTGGTTCCTTCAAGGGATGGAGAGAAGGATCTGTTCCAGGTCGCTTTCCCCGGGTTGTAATTACCATCTCCCTGTGTCTCCACATTGTCTCCCCTCTATGAGTGTTTCTGTGTCCAAATTTCCCCTCTTTAGAAGGACATCAGTGTCCACCCTAATGACCTCATTTTAACTTAATGACCTCTGTGAAGACCCTGTCTCCAAGCAAGTAACATTCAGAGGTACTAAGGGTTAGGTCTGCAAAATATGAATTTGGAGGGGATACAATTCAGCCTATACCATGTGGGAATTGCCAGTTGCACCCAAAGGTTCTATGGAGGAATTATCTGTCATGTTAGCAAGTTACTTAATTTTGGCCATGAGTCCACTTGGAGTTCTGGGAGGCCTTGCCCTCTGCAACACAAAACTGCCGTTCACAGGAGTGACACTGACTCAAATGTGACCTTCTAAATTGTCTTTCTGGGACTGAGAACACCACTGCATGAAGGACAAACACCAAAATTTAAATAGGAATAAAAAGAGATGGCATAATGAGTGTCCTGTGGGACCTCCATGCTTTGGTCGCGTAAGTTATATGTCACTCCATATATTAAATGGAGTAGAAGATATAAGATGGGACTTCACAAAAATTTGCATTTAAAGACTTTCTTCGTAAAGGTTTGAGAAGTAGAGTCCTTTAAAAAAGATGAATCTTTATAATCTACCCACTCTACCTTGCACATTTTTAATAAGAAAATTACCACTTTATTAGGTGTTTAGCAATAGAAAAATAAACCCTCCTTGTACATTTCCAAAAAAAAAATAATTACAATAGTAACAGTGGGTTTTTTCAACTCATTTACATGTAAATTTATAAAGTGTTTCAACTAATCCATTATTTTCTATATATTTACTTCACATCAGAAATATCCAAACATCCCTTTCGAACTGCCAGAAGAACAAGCAACTAAAAATAATAAAAATATTTAATATCACAGATATCTAGAAGTTTCAAGATGGCTATCTTTGATAAAAATAAACAATTTGGGGTAAAATTAGTTGATCCTAATTAGATGCAAGCAATAGAATTATGAGACTGCTTAATTATACCACTTAAGCAATGTGAGTTTCCCACAATGCACTTAGCTCCATATTGCTACTATTATGTCTTCCAATATTACTTAAAATTTCATGTGCTTTTAACTTCCACTTTTAAACCAGACAGAACTCATCTCCAGTTGCTTTCTAGCTAGAAAGCGTGTCCTTGTAACTGCTGCCCACACCTGTTTTGCAAGCTTCTTTAGGGCCAGAGCCACTATAGCTAACATTGATGCATCTCTATGTGCTAGGCACGATTCCAACCAGTGTGATATCTTAACTGATTGAGTGACTATCCCTGAGACCTCCAGAGCCCATGCTTTGAACCACCTGGCTCTGCTCCCATCCCTCAAGCACATCCACGGCAGCCTAAGCAAAGGGCTGGCCTCACAGCAGGAGTGAATCAACCAGCAAACACGTACAACTGGTTGCTCAGATCACGAATATTTAATTAGCCATGAAGTCAGTGTATGATGAGATGTATATTGGATGCATGCCGTCTCATTGGACTGCCTCTTCAAGGTCCCCTAGGATGATTCTTTTTTGCATAAACTGTGACAAGAGCCTAAAAGGAAACTTAATGACAATGTTGGCATGTATATCTCACCATCATGCAGGGAGCTATTGTGGCTGCTGATTGGATTAGTTTCAGAAATGTCCTTTCATCTTTCAAATCATTGGTATGTAGTTCTACACATATGCGTATAAAATAAAATTTAGCAGAAGCTCTGGGTTATAGGACCTGTGAAATTTAACAGAGGCCCAGAGTTGTAGGACTCACTGGTGTGATGCCCAAATTTTAGGAAAGTGATAGGAAAATGCCCATATCTAAGACTGAAGCAAATATCATGCCAATTGAATGAGGTTCATCATTTACAGAAATCATCTACCATCAGATATGGTTTTTCAAATGTGAATGCAAATAGTAATTGTCATAGAATCCTCCAGATCCAATCTCAGTTGTCACTGCACTGAGGTGCTCGTGTTCCATTGTGTGAGGGCTCGCACGTGTGAATGTAGTCAGGTGTGAGTGTGTGTGTGTGTTTATGGGGGGTGTGTTAGGGAGGTGGGTGTGGATAGGTAATTTCTCTGTGAAGAGTATGAAGACAGGATATCCCAAAGATAGGAATTTGTCAGTATGATGCCAGTTCTGCTCACAGCTTGTGGGTTTGGCTTGTGGGTTTGGCTTGCAGCATGTGTGATGAGGTATAGTATGGTGGGGTGGGATTGTTGTTGTGTTGGGTACCACACTGGCAGAAGGCTGTGTGGTTTGGGGTGGGTGAGCTGACGTGTGGTGAGGTGTGATGTGGTGTGGTGTGGTGGGACCTGACATGTAGTTTGATGTAGGTTAGAGTTGGTGTGGAGAGAGCCTTGGTGAGGGGTTTATCACGAGGCATTCATGATGTGGGCTGTGGGAGGTGGGAGACTGGACTGTATGAGTGTGTGTGGGGATGTAGTATAGATAGGGTGTGAGTGTGAGTGTGTGTGTGTGTGTGTGTGTGTGTGTGTGTGAGAGAGAGAGAGAGAGAGAGACATGGTTGTTACTAAGCTACAACCATATAGCTTTTGTTTAGATTTTCTTTTGCCCTTTGTTTGGGTCTTTGTTTTTCTCTTTGTTAGCCTTTGTTTTGTCTTTGTTTCACTCTTTGTTTAAACTTTCTTTGGCTTTTGTTTGGTCTTTCTTTAGCCTTTTGTTTAAACTTTGTGTGGCCTTTTTGTAGTCTTTGTGTAGCTTTTGTTTTTAAGTGGATCTTGGCTGAGGACCCATCAAAAACACCTTGTGTAATGAAAGCCCAGGATATATAATCTCTCCCTATATATTCTGCAGGCATTGAGCACCCTCAATCGCCCCAGGGACCTGGTACAGACGTGGAAGCTGTTTCACACGACAACTGCTACTTGAAGGTAAGGGGATTCCATGGGTTTTCATCTTACTTCATCTTCAAGTGGCAAGTGCACTTGTTTGTATAAGGAGTGGGACCTGCCTGTCCTTTCAGGGTCTACACTGGGGATCCCACATGTATGAGCCATTTCCTTACATCCCAGGGGAAACTTGCTATAATAGCAGTCAAGATTGGGAGGACATAAAAGGATGGAGAAAACAAGAAGAGAGGACACCAAGTTTATGCAGAGCGCCCTCCATTCCGGCTAATGTTTGGGAACTGGCTGAACCTGGGGAGAGGCTCTGAACCCTAACTCAGGTTCTCTCGGGTATACAGCCCCATGTTTCTGGAGCTAGATCAATGGGGCTAACGGCTTCTTCTTTGTCTAGTTCTTCTTTTATTATTTATCATGATTGAAAATGAGTTCTTCTTATCTAGGAACAATGCCTTCCCGCGTACAGCTGGGTTTATGTGTGTGGGATACTAATGGAACAATGAAGTTCAAATCTTGTAAGAATTTTGTTCCCTATAGACTAGAAACCTTAACTGGAAATGCATTCATACTTTATCTTGTACAGACTTGCAGAAATCAGGTTTGGTTTTTTCTTTTTTCAGTTTTGTGGTTGATAGAAAAAGACAAAAGAGCCTGTCAGGGGAATAAAGTCATGAACTTGGCTGGAGTTCTAGGAAGAAACTGGGGAAAAGAATGCTTTGTGAATAAATCAGGGAGACAAAAAACAGATTGTTGTAAGATGTGCAGCTATGCTATTTTATGTTTATTTAGAATAGCAGGAGAATGCCTTGGTGAGTGGATTTTAAAAATTGTTTCATATGTACAGAAAAATTGGAAATAATACAAAAATTCCAGACGTATCCAGATTACTCAAATGTTGACATTTTACAACATTTGCTTTATCATTTTTTCTTTCCCTGTGTACACATATATGTTTTTTTTTTCCTGAGCCACTTGAGATTAAATTAATTACAGACATGGTCAAAATCAGGAAATTAACATGGAGAAAGTACTATTGACAGACCTTGACGTGACCTTGACAGTTTGAAGAGTATAGGCCTGCTATTTTGCTAAATGTCCCTCAGTTTGGGTTTGGTCTGATGTTTTCTCATGATCTGGTCCGGATTATACAGTTTTAGAAAGGATATGCTTGCATTTGAGATCATGCATATAGAAATTCAACTTGAATCTGACTGTACAAATTTTTAATTCTTGTTTACCTAATGGTAACTAGGATTTTACATGGGTGCCTAAAATCTTACAAGAAAATACAAAAATTGAAAACTCCAGGGCGTTTTGGTGAATAACCCCCAAATATTCACCAAAAATGTATAAACGCTGCCCTTTATTTATAAATGGTAATTACACTGATATGTACGTGAACTCGATAGGTGTACAGTAAGGTATTTAATCTAGATTCTTTGTCTGTGTTGGATTTATGTCTACTACTCTGAGTATTCATTGCATAAATGTGGAAATTCTTTTCTAAGCAAAACCATCTGCGGAAAACAGATACAGTTCAATAAAGAGCTGTCCTGAATAGCCACCCTGGGCTTGCTGCCACCTTAAGCATGTCGACAGGAGAAAGAACTTGCATTTTGTTTGTTTGTAAGTGGGAAAAATTCTATTTGGAGGTGGCTGACAGTTTTATTATACTTAAAATACTTTTTTTAAATACGCAAATCTAAATCATCCATTTTTTTGTCCTCCAAGAAAACTCTGAAGTCATCATAAATGTGGGGAAATTGATTAATTGGTTATATGCTCTTTATAGTCAAGTGAATGTATTATGACTTGAACAGGACTGTTCCCTGGATGAGGTAGATAAATACCTTCTTTTCTACATATGGAATTAAACGAGAAGCTTGGGTTTCTGCACGAGGTGCAATTTAAGCTTGAGAAACTCGGCTTTTGGGAAAATGTAGCATTTGCTATTCTGGTTGTCTTATCTGCACTATAGAAGTCACTCTGGAGTTTGAGAAAGTGTTTTCTACTTAAAGGATGATGTGTTCCTATGATGAGCCATTCTGGGGTGGAAAATGAAAGCCTCCTCTCACTCAGTCAAAAGAATTGGGGGTTAGGGCATGGAAGACTTGGAAGGCCCTTGTGGATGGGATTTGAGTTGCTTTCCACAACCTGGAAGCCTGGAACCCTAGGATTAGGTCCCAGCATGTGGGATCCCAGAATGACCTCTTCTATGGGCTGTGCAGGCTATGGTGGCTTCTGGTGCTTTTGTTATAATGCATTAGGTGAAAACTTGGTGTGAGCTGTGCTCTGGGTGGTTAAGGAACCAATGTGTTTTTAAATGTACCTGGGGTTTGTTTTTATTCAGGCATGGTGAGGCCAGCAGATCAGGAGATGACTGCCACTGAAAAGATAGTTCTCACAGTTTCCAAGAGGAGGCGGCATGTCAGGCCAAGAAGGGCCAGATGGGGAGGCACCAGGGTCAGTCAGGAGCCAGAAGGAGTGAGGAAAGCATGGGCCAGAGAGTTTATTGCATTTTTTTTGCAGGGCGGACTGAGCGAGGCAGGGTAAACCATGAAGATAAACGTGATTCCCCTGGTGGCAGAATGTGGAATGAGAAGAGGGTGTCACTATGCTTCGGGGCACTCCCACATTTACAGGTTAGGTGTTCGAGGGGTGATTGGCACAGGATAAAGAGAAGAGTCGGAGAGGAAGGAGGGGATATGGAACGTGGTATCATGGAAGCCAAAGGGAAGGAAGACAAAAGAGGGAGTGGCCATCTTTGTAGAACGATTCTGAGATGTGGCGTGATGTGAAGGGATATGTGATTAGTGATATTCGATTAAGTGATATGGAAATAATTGGTGGCTTTACCAAGAATTGTTCCCATGGAATGGTTAAAGCAGGAATGAGAGGGTTTGTGGTGGGGAACAGGGGCTGAAGAGTTGGAGAGAAAAATTATAGTCATCTCAGACCAAAAGTTTGAGATATTTCTGCTCAGTTATCAGCCTCTTAGCAACCGTTTTTTCTTAGGATTCCCACAGTCTCACTCTGAAATTGCACAATTTTGGAATTGGCTAAGTATCTAAGAGAAATTTTATATATATATATATATATATATATATATATATTCATTCTTAGTAGTTCCTACTGTTTGTTACTCTCCCTTCCACCCCCTTCCAGAGCCCTGCAGTCTTAGCAACCCCTTACTCTGATCTCTGTTTCTTCCTCTTTCTGCTTAAGTTTTTTTCCCTGAATAGAAGTTGTCATCAAAGACAACCAATCAGAATAATAGGTTTCTTTCAGAGGTTATTTTCGTGTCTAGAATCTCCATAATCTTTGTTCAAATATCACTTCAAAGATCATATATATATTTCAAAAGAATGGGGCAAATGGTTACAAATAATCACATAAATCTCCATATTGCCTGGGAAAACAAGATTGATATTTTGAAGAAGCTCTCGATTTAATGCTTTATCCAGTTGGATTCCTTCTTTGAGTTTATAACACAAAAAACACATCTTTTTTCCAGAGGGGAGGACAGTCCTTCAACTCCTTTCTTCAGGTGCTTTACTTAATTGCGAACACTTGCATTTTTGGATACAGACTCTGAAATTTCATTCATTTCAGAAATTTCACTTATTAGTGGTATAAGCAAAAGTCAGGTTTATAGAGCTCAGATGTACTAGGAGAAAAGCCTAAAGATTTTTTACTTAATGACAGTGAATTCATTGGACAGACAGCATTCTTCCTCTATAATGATAAGATGGGCTTCAAAAAGTTTGCATGTGATCTTGTGATTACTGCGAATCCTCCCTCTAACCCCCCAACTGACTGACAGCACCTACATCCATCATATCCATCATCACAATCCTAGAACCATGAGAGTGAAGCTCTGTGTATAACACACTTGAATTAACTACAACCTAAGTAACCAAAACACGAAATTAGTAACCGGAACACATTCTACTGCTTTATTTTCAGGAAAAAAAGAAGCAAATGATACCAAGACCAGCTCATAATAGAGATCTAATCATCAGATGTGTACGGATGAAAATACAGGTACAAACGGATCTCTTTTATTGTTCTGGATTTGCATCTGAATTATTGTATAACGATTACTAGGTATTCAGAGTGTCAAAGTAGAATGCAGAATCAGCCAAAGACTAAGCACTCAAACTTTGAGTAAGAGTTAAACACTTTAAATAACTCTTCCAGGTGTTTCACAGTATTCTAGGTTTGGGAGTAGAAATTTGAAATAAAAATGTGTATACATCAGAGGCACAAGGACCTAAGCCACCATTTGTCTACCTTTGTCCAACCCAGGTACTATGCACTCTGCCTCGTTCATTCATTGTCATGCTGTGGAGCTTGTCAATCCTTGAAACTACCCCATCTATGAATCAAATAGTGCAAACATCTAGGATCTCATTCACAACCTCCTTTCTTTCAACTTGCTTGGTTAAGCGCCCCATTACAACTCTTCTTCCACTTGGTAGTTCAAGTTGATTTGCCCCTCCTCCTGTCCGTTCATTTATGAATCCATTCACCTACCCAGTCATCCTCACCCTTTTCTGTTTACTTCTGATTATGGATAGATTCTAGAATTCATCATTTCAATTGTTCTCTTGCAAATTCTTTGGCAAATCCCAACCCTGAATGCATATATTTTTCTTCATGTCTGCACCCAGGCTGCTGAGAACAATTGCAGAAAAGCAAAATGGAAGAGATTGGTACCACTAAAAATTAGTGACTTCAACTAGGCTGTCAAAACTACCTGGCGGCTTGGTCTCCAAATTTCTGCAAAATGTCTTTTAAACTCATTCTATTCTCAAATCTCCAACTCTCTAATTCTCAGCTGATAACCTTATCTCCCACTTCACTGGAAAAATGTAAGGTATTAGATGGGAACTTCATACAGCCAACTGTTTTCCCTCTTCCAACAAAGGCAACTCTTCTACATATGCAGAGCATTCCATCTCCTCAGTTTTTCCTCAAGAATACTAATTATTTCCACTTTCTGATTTTATTTTAATTTTTTCCTTTCTACTAGACTCTACCCATCAGCTTTTATGTATGCTCTCATCATTACAAAAAACAAATGAACAAACCAACCAATCACTCCTCTACCACCCTCAAAAACAATACCCCTCACCCTCAAGACAAAACAAAACAAAACAAAACCCTGGAAAACACTTTTCTAGCTACCATGACTCTACTCCCCTTCGCTCTCAGACTTCTGGCGTGAGTTGATTATAGGTTTTCTCTCCAAATCCTTAGCCCCTGTTCCCCACCACAAACCCTCTCATTCCTGTTTTAAATATTCCACGAGAACAATTCTTGGTAAAGCCACCAATTATTTCCATATCACTTAATCGAATATCACTAATCACATATCCCTTCACATCACGCCACATCTCAGAATCGTTCTACAAAGATGGCCACTCCCTCTTTTGTCTTCCTTGATACCACGTTCCATATCCCCTCCTTCCTCTCCGACTCTTCTCTTTATCTTGTGCCAATCACCCCTCGAACACCTAACCTGTAAACGTGGGAGTGCCCCGAAGCATAGTGACACCCTCTTCTCATGCCACATTCTGCCACCAGGGGAATCACCTTTATCTTCAGGGCTTCAATTGCCACTTGTACTTACTCCAACAACTTTCAAATTCTATCTCCCACCCATATCTCTCTGAACTTTCCACTTGGCATCTCCATCTAGAAGCTCCTCTAACACCTCAACTCATGATTCTGCATCTTCCCCCAAACCTTCACCTCCAGTAGATGCTTCCACCACCCACCGAGTTGCTCCAACTACAGACCTTGGAGTCACCCTGGACTCTTCCTCTTGTTTTTCTGAATAGATGAATAATTCCAACACAGCATGATAAATATAAAGATGGCGGTATATAAATTACAAAATGGAACAAAGATAAGAGGCGTTTCATCCAATCAAAGCAGTCTACCAGTGTAACTGCCGTTGGATGACTCGGATGATGGCCTTGGACTCAGAATTTAGGAAAAGGGGTGGTCAGCAATCCAGTGCTTACTTTAGCTTGTCTCCGGCCTGGTCTCTTTGTTTCCCCAAGACTGACTCCCTTGGAGAACCCAACGCACTGGAGCAGCCCTCATCTTCCACTAGCTGTCAGTGGAGCAATAAAACAGCCCATCAGGTAATCTAGGTTCTCTCCTTTGGCCCCTGCTATGACCAGAGGCCAAATTAACATTTAGGTTTTTTTCTATAAGAAAATGCAAATCTGGAAGATAGGTTGCCTTCTTCATCCCGGAAGAAATCTGAGAGAGAATCTGTTTTACCTACATGTACGTACATTCAAAATCCCATCATTTTCATAGAGAAGGGAAACACAAACACAAACAATTCTTATTTCTTATATCACAAACAGATTAAGAAAGGCAAATAATTATAAAAGTAAGCACACCTTGAAAAAATATTTCCTACTGAGAGACCACTTTCTGTTAAAACCTTAATTCTTGGGAATCTGACAAAAGCAGCCTGAGTCCTACATAACATCCTAGGGAACAGAAGCACCTGGGGATTTTAAAGGCACTGTCAATTCAACCAATCACAGTTAACACTCATTCAGTGAGGGGAGGGCACAGCAGAACCCTTTGGATTCAGACAGAAGCCCTTCCCTCAAAGAGCTCAGGCTGGGATGACAGCCACACAGCCACACTATTATAGGGTAAGGCATGCCCACCAAGAGAAGTGTGTACAAATTCTAGAGAAAGCCCAAAGGAGGGGAGGGTCCTTTGAGGAGGTGAGACCTTAACTGGGTTGTTTAGGATGAACAGAGGTTCACCGCACAAACATGATGGGGAAAAGGCATTCCAGGAGAAGGGAATGGCATGCTCAGAGATCTTTTGATCATAGGTTGATGTTTCTGACTATAGCAGTGAGGGGTGGTGGTGAGAGATAAAGGGGAAAGGTGGGCGGGGGAAGGGGGGCCTTGTGCGCCATATTAACTAAGAAGCAGGACTTTCTTCTGTAACTGGGGAGAGCCCCTGAAGTTTCTGAGTAGGGACAAACAAGGAGACAAACTCATGCCCTTGGTTTTTTTTCCTGGGCCCTTTGCCCCGTCTGTAGACTATCATGGAATTATTCATCCACATACAATCCTAGTGTAAGTTCATATGTCCATAAGCTAAAACAATGCACTGTGTAATTTCAGATGTTAACCAAATAAATCATGTTATTCAAATCATGTTCAGAAAATATTTTACTTTTTACATGTTTATCTGGCTTTGCTATAATCAGCAGGTTTCACTCCTAAAACATTTGCTAAGTATATTGTCTGTGTGCTAAGGATACCAACCTTAGGTCACACTAGTTCCCTCTTCTAGAATAGCCGAAGTCAGAGGTCGTGTTGTTTGTTCAGTCAAAAAGGGCTTTTGCAAAAATCTGTGAGATGGTTGTCTGTGGGCAGTGTGGTCCTTGGTCCACTTTAATTTGTCCTTGTTGATGGAGCAAAACAAAGCAATGAGGGCTTTGCTTTGTCTCCTGAGTGGGTTGTCAACAGCAAGACAACCAGGACCTGCTTATGCTGTTATATTGGATTTTGGCAAGATGCTTCTCTCTGGGTAAAAGCACTCTGATTCAAAATCAATACCTGTATGACGTTTTCCTTACCCGGAACTGGTGTGCCAACAAGAATCTACTGTTTAACGTTCATTGTACTAATGTGTAAACATTTTGGTTGCCAAGGGCACAAATGGATAAACCAGGACAAACAGATAAAGATATTTTCAGAGACAGCATGTGGTAGTTAACAACCAAAGTTCACTTCCCACATGTATTTTTGCTGCTGTGGACTGATCAACAGGGCAGCCATTGTCTTTTACTGTGTAAATCTGGAAAGCATTAGCTCCTGGCCAGAGAGAGAATTAGCAAGGTTTTAGAAACTACTAAAGTCTCTAAGGGAGGTGGGGAATGTGGCGTGAATTTGCTCTGCAGTGATGCTTTTCATAGCAGAGGAGTCGGGGTTGGCAGCCTTTGGAAGGATGTGGGAGGTGAAAGAACCCCGGGCCTGGAATGGAAACTTTGAACCCGCGGTTTTAATTCCAGAAACAGCTCGACAAAGCTCCCATCTGCATTCTTCACTTGCAGGAAGTCATGGGCACCCTTCTGACAGCGCAGGGCTCACAGCCTGCTACGGTTCCTTGAGGCGAGCTCCAGCCCAGTTCCTGTTTGCAGAATGCTCCTGCCCCCTGCCCTTTTGGGGGCTAATCGGAATGGTCATGAATTGATATTTCTTTGCTGCCATTTCCCTTCTCTTTACTATTACAATGAATCATATTTGTATAGGACTACTGGCTTTTCAAGATTCATCTTTTTCTATGATTTGCCTGTTTTTGTTTTTTCAAAATTCAGTTTTTTCCTTTAAACATTCTGATTATTAACACTTTATACTTTTATGTGTTTGTATATTTTCTTCTCTACCTGTACAGCTCTTTTCACTTGTAACTTCATGGTATCTTTTATTCTATTAAATCGTCATCTTTGATTTACGTCCCTCCTCTTCACCTCTGCTGTGTTAGAAGTCGCATGATGTCAGGGTTAGGATCTTGGGGTCATCATTTACTAGCTTTATGTGCTCAGCTTTCTCATTTGCAAAACGGGGCTATTGTGAGGTTGTGAGGATTAAATGAGTAAAATACATAAAGCCCTTGAATAGTATATCCTGACTTGTGTTTGCTATTATTATTCTTATTGGGAGTCTTTGGTCTACTTTGATTTTGTCTCTCTTTTGAGTAGTTCATCCATTTCCTATTAAAAAAATGCCCCCGCTGTTATGAACCATACTACTATACATATGTGGGTCTGTTTCTGGGCTCTCTATTCTGTCCCATTGATCTATCGGTCTATTTCCAAGCCAATACTTGACTGGTTTTTTTGGTTTGTTTGTTTTTAGATTTTTTTTATTGGGGAATTGGGGGGATGGGAACAGCGCTGGGGAATTGGGGGGAGGGGAACAGACAAGTTGCAGTCGTTTTGTTCTTCATTCTAGCTGTGGAGGACACTGCTTCACTGGCCCAAGTTGGCA